AAAAATGAGAATTTGGGGAAGAAGAATGAGAATTTGGGGAAGTCTTTACTGTATCTAAGTAAACTGATCAATTTATTGCTCAAAGCAGGACACTTCTGAGAATGAAAGGGGAAACCACACCTTATTATGCCAGGATAACAGGTATAAACCGGGACTGCCCCAGGCAGAGAAGCACAGTCATTTTACTCAAAAACCCATCCAAGATCTCATTATTAAGTAGAGAGTGTTTTTTCCATATATATTGCTTTAAAACAGGAGGTCAAAGGAAAGGTTATGGACCCAGAGGTCCATGGACTGGGCCCAGATCATAACCAAGGACCTTGGACTTGCCAAATCACACTGTTCTCAACCATCACAAGAACTTCGAGAAGAGCAAAGATTTGGTCCTATTCTTGTTCAATGATTGCAGCCAACCAAGGAGCCTGGTAATTGCAGGAAACTCTGACATCTGCCAGCTCTAGAGTTAGTCACTTAGAGTGGTTCCGAACATGGGCTGGGACCCACTCTACCACTTCCCAATTAGGTGACCGTGAGCAAGTTATTAACCAGTCTGGGCTCCACTTTGCCTGTAGAGTGGGAAGAAGAAGAAGAATACTTCCATCAAAGGATTGTTACTGAGCATGCAATGAGATAAATAAGGTAAAGTGCTTTTAAAAATGCCTGGCACTGAAAACACTCCTGATAGGTCAGCCATATTGACTGCGGTTGTCAGAAACGATCTGAAATGCACATCTCATTATCCTGCTGGGTACTAGATGCATGAGTGTCCAGTGACCATAAGATGAGGACTCTTAAATAGACACAGGAAGTTTGAGGCCTATATAGTCATAACCCTAAGTCAAGTGTTTCAACGCTGGTAGATAAAAGGAAAATGTCTCCAAAGGAGCATTTTCAGACATTTCCCAATGTTCCTTGCTCTTCCTCACGTTACAGCCAGCGCATCTCTCCCCACTGAGACGGGGTGGACATGGCCTCTGTTTCCCAGGCCTGTCTGCTTTGTCTGCAGCTCTCGCCTGACTAGAACCTCTGTGCTCATGTGGGGTCCGAAGGGCTGTGAGGTCTCACTGTGTCCCACTTGATCAGCACGTAGCTTGCCCACTGCTGCCCGCCCCTCCTCCTCCAGGACTCCCAGAGCAAAGTTTCTGAGACTTTACAAACTACATTTCCCCTTTTTACTATAACAGACTTTCCTTCTACTCAACACTGTCCTTTAACATCCTCTCTCCTCTTACCACGTTCATTTCACTCTTTACTCAAGTTTCAGCACCCCTAACTAGAAGGTCCCAGAACCCACGACTGAAAGTCACGATTCTAAACTGATCCTGACTATCCCCAGACTCATGAAATTTGCTGCTTTTCTCAGATTGACACCGGACACAGTGGGTCTAGGCCACCTGTCACTACTGGAGCCAAATTAAGCAGAGACAGGGTTGAATCATATATGGGTGTTTATTCCAATAACGCTGGTAGTATGGGGAGAGCAGTCAGTCACCCTGAGAATTCTGCTCTGACCCCCCCTTGCCAGTTGGCTGATTATATAGGCTTGAGGGAGAAGATAGCTACATGCAGCTGTGAGCTGCAAGTGTAACAGAGAAAGCGGAGGGTAGGGTCTGTGGTTGGGCCCTCAGGAGTTCAAAGTCTGATAACAAGGTGGCTAATCTTTTATGATGTTACACAAGCTCAGCCTGTTCCTGAGGCAAACTCCTAGAGGGGGGCAGGGTCCAGGCACAGCAATGGAATCAAAGCATGTTCTGTCCTTGGTCTGTTCTCAAAGTCTATCTTTTATGAGTAATGGACCCATTGAGGCATCTTATCTTTTTACAGCCTTGTTTCATCCTCCATTTTCCCAGGGTCTGTAAGAAAACCTCTTACCTATAGTTAGTAAGGTGAGCAATTATGAAACAACTGTGGCTCTATTCTTATTACATTCCCTTCCCCACTATCAACATCACTATGGTCATGTCCCCTAAACAAAATCATGTCTGAAGTAGAAATATTATTTAACAATTTCTTTGAACATTTCAGTTAAAATCCAAGAAATCCAGATCATTCTGGAAATAACACAAAATTATTCAGAACATTCACCAGAATAGGCCAAATATTTATACAAGAAATTGCTCCTTAAACTTGTCTACAAATTAGACATTCCAGCACGTTTTCTATTTCCTAAGAAAGTATTTTTAATTTCCACTTGGGGAACACAGTTTCAAGGTGATAATTATTCCTAGATTCTGGCTTACTGCACACTATTAAAAATAATAATAACAATTTTAACCAAATGTCAGTAATACAAAGGCATACGTATACATATGGGGAAAACAGAAAACATGACAAAAAAAATTACTCGGTAATAAAATCTCTACTTGGAGCCAGTGTCCACCATGAATGCCTTTTTCACATGAGGTCAGAGAAAAGAAAGCATTCCTTCCTCCTGCCTTTACAAAAATAAAAGTATGTTCTTCAGCAAGGAAAAAGAAAGTACGTGAGTAAAATTAACTCATAGTGGAATGTTTACACTAGACACACTAATTCTAGTGCTTATTTATTAAAAAACACAATCAGCATTCTTTCAGATTGCCTGTGTAAGGGTGAAGATGGAGCCTTCCTTCGTGTTTTCCTCATTACTACTGCCAGCCACCTCTGTATCTCTGTCCCTCCTATGGTGAGGAGGGTGCTAGGTGACAGTTCATATATTTCCCTGTTTTGCTCTCCTTCCATGAAGAAAACATAGGAAGTAGTGAGATTTTGCTTGAACGTTTGGATGGCTACTCTGCTGGAGGCAGGAGAACATTCTCGAGCCCACAGAAATCCCTGTCCTATCACCCCAGCTGTTACTGCCCTCAGACACCAGGATCCATACCTTGGGTCTGACTCTCCCTTGGCCTCAAGCCTTGTGATCTCAGATTCCTGGGACAGTTCTTGCTGGAGATTCTCATGGGTCAAAGTTCCCAGGATCAGGGGGACAATAGCTATACTCGACTGAACAATCTCAGTTTCATACTTTGTGCCAAAATAGTCCAGCCCCCAAGCTGTATTATGGGATTATGTCCTTCTGAGCAATGTCTTACAAGTTCTGCTCTGCCATCTATCCTTCATTGCTGCTGTATCCTGGTGACAACAGAGGGGTGTGTCCTCAACACCTTGCCATTTATTTCACAAACAGGAAACCTGAAGAGTCAGTAGGAATGTGAAGAGCTGTGCAAACTCACCAGTACTCAGAGAAGTGCAAATTAAAACAACACGGAGCTATCACCTTAGGTACGTGAGATGGGCAAACATGCGAAGGTTGCTAACAGAAAGTGTCAATCAGGATATGAGGAAAATGGGACTCTCTACACAAGAGGACAGTGATGCTCAGTGAAATTAAGCTCATATATGCCCTGTCCCCAGCGTATCTCGTTCCTGGTATATGTCCAGGTAAAGTTCCATGTCCACCTGCAGGACATGTGAAGCAAAGGATTCATGACACTGGTGTTGTAGGAACTGGGAGTTGAGGGCATCTAAGTGCCCTTCACCAGTGGTACTGGTAAGTTAAATGAACTTGGTTGGTTTCCTCCAAAACCAGACCCTGAGATGAGGGTTTGCACTTAAGTGGCTTCTTTGGGAGGTGATTAAAGGAAGCACCAGTACGGAGTGGGAAAGGCAGAGTCAGGGCACTTTGGGAGTCA